CATACCTGGCAGTGCTCGGGGCTCACTCCTGGCAGGGCTCAGGGGACCGTCAGCGGGGCCGGGAACCAAGCCCAGCTCAGCCCCATGCCAGGCCAGCGCCCTACCCACTGTGCTCTCTCCCCGGCCCCAATTCTTCCATTCTTACTCAACTGACCTACTTCTCTGTATCTCTGTGGCATTTCCCAATATCCTCTCCTCCTCTTCTGCATCTATCAAAAATATCTTTCCTTCAGAGCACAATTCAAGTTCCGTCTTAAAGGGATTTCACCCCCCCTCAGAATCCCTAAAAGCATTCTCTGTTTCTCTTATATTTATCTTATATTTGTTTCTTATCTTATTACTCCCTTTTAAAACCTGTAAAGTGGAGCCAGAGAGATAGTACAGCGGATAGAGCATTTGCTGTGCACACGGCCAAATCGGGTTCGATCCCCAGCATCCCATTGGGTCCCCCAAGCACCGCCAGGAGTGATCCCTGAGTGCAGAACCAGGAGGAACCACTGAGAATCGCTCAGTGTGGGCCAAAAAGCAAAAAAATAAAAATAAAAATAAAATAAAACTTCTAAAGTGGGGGCTGACGAGGAGAATACAGCAAGTAAGGCACTTGCCTTGCACAGGGTTCAATCCCATTGCCCCGTATGGTTGCCTGAGCCCCGCCAGGAGTGATCCCTACATGTAGACTCAGGAGTAGGCCCTGAGCACCACCAGATACTTGCCAAAACAAGTCTAAAAGGTAAATTTGGGGCAGAGAGATTGTAGTGAAGTTAGATTTGATCCCTGGTGCCCCATATGGAACCGTGAACACCACCAGGAGTGAATCCTGAGCACAGAGTCAGAAATAAGCTCTAAGTCGGCCAGGTATGGCCCAAAAAGCAAACTTCTTCTGTAAACTCCTAAGGCCAGGGAGGGGAGACGGCTAAATTGGCCAGAGAAGACGCTGAGCCTCCAGGCAGCCCAACTCCCACTCCCCGAGTCCCCAACACCCGAAGGTCCTGCAAGTACCTAGCCAGGTGCAGGCCCTCAGCACCAGCAGGTGTAACTCAAAAAATTTTAAAAAGTGAACTTGTTGGGGCTGGAGTGACAGCACAGTGGGTAGGGTATTTGCCTTGCACACGGCCAACCCGGGTTCAATTCCCAGCATCCCATACGGTCCCCCAAGCACCACCAGGAATAATTCCTGAGTGCAGAGCCGGGAGGAACCCTGGTGCATTGCCGGGTGTGACCCAAAAAGAAAAAAAAAATTTTTTTAAGTTAATTCCTTTATGGCAGGATATGCCTCTGTCAACAAATCTATGGTACGACAATGGACAAGTAGAGACTAACAATAAGGGCTAGAGAGATTGCACAGGGGCAGAGGTGCTTGCCTTACAAGATCCTGGTTGGACTCCTGGCTTGATTACAGTCCCCAGAGCACAGCAGCAGGAGGAAGTCCTGAGCTCTGCAAGGTATGTGCCCAGACCACCCTCCTCAAAAAACAGAAGACAGGGGCTGGAGCAATAGCACAGGGCGTCTGCCTTGCACGCGACCAACCCAAGTTCGATCCCCACCATCCCATGTCCCCAAGAACTACCCAGGAGTAATTCCTGAGTGCAGAGCCAGGAGAAAACCCTTTACATCGCCGGGTGTGACCCAAAAAGAAAAAAAAAAGGCATATGGGTACACGTAACATATACATGTACATAGTATATATTTTCCCCACCAAACCAGCTACATAATTGAAGTAAATGTGACTTCATTTATTCCGGTAATTAAATTTTTTTATATGGGGGACACAATCTGCTACAGGAGTCACAGAATGACCATCTACAAGCACATTTATTACTCGCACTGCTAGGGATTAGTCTTCTTTGGAAACAATAATACAAGGAGAATTTTTCCAATGGTCAATGAAACGAATACAGGCACAATGAAATATCAAACACAGAAAATGATTAAATCAAGCCCATGTTTACTTCACTTATTTTTACAATACAAAGTAAGCTTTTGTCTACTCGGTTGATTCAAATTCACCCTTAATTATGATCCAAGTTTAAAGTCACAATCAGGGGCAGAGCTAGCGGACAGCAGGTAAGACGCTTGTCTTGCACAAGGCCAGCCCTGGTTCACTTCCTGGCGCCCCATATGGTCCCCAGCCCCACCAGGAGTGATCTCTGAGCAGAGCCATCAGGAGGCCCTGGGCACTGCCCAATGCGTTGCCCCCTCAGACACATACATAGCAAATCATAAATTAAATTTTAAAAATGGAGTCTCGGGGGCTGCAGCAGTGGCACAGCGGGTAGGGCATTTGCCTTGCAGGCCGCCGACCCGGGTTCGACTCCCAGCATCCCATATGGTCCTCTGAGCACCGCCAGGGGTATTCCTGAGTGCAGAGCCAGGAGGAACCCCTGTGCATCGCCAGGTGTGACCCAAAAAGCAAAAATAAATAAATAAATAAATATAAAAATTGAGTCTCGGGGCTGGAGCAATAGCACAGCAGGTAGGGTGTTTGCCTTGCACGCAGTCGACCCAGGTTCGATTCCCGGCATCCCATATGGTCCCCCGAGCACCGCCAGGAGTAATTCCTGAGTGCATGAACCAAGTCACTCCTGTGCATCGCCGGGTGTGACCCAAAAAGCAAAAAAAAAAAATTGAGTCTCATTCACACATATAGATGTAAATTGGTGTGGCCACACCCCAACGTGCTTGAAGGGAGAGTCAGGGAAACTGACCAACCTCAAGGTTCCCACCCCAGAGCCTGGACTCCATCCAGCCAGCTCTGAGGCACCTCCTGGGTCCTGAGTCTTTTTTTTTTTAAGGGCAATGACAATTCACATTACCAAAATGGCATTATTGATCTCATTCAGAATTTAAGGAAACCAGCAACTTGGGGAGCCCACTGTAGCGACTTTTCCCTGTGACTGATGAAGAGTTTCTCCAGGCACACAATGTTGGAGGCGGCTTCGACTGAGGCAATGAAGAAGTCTTGTCAAGTCCAATGTCTGGAGTCTGGCTTATCTTACCACCCAAAAACTGCTCAAAACGCCCATAAGAGAGTCAGACAGCACAGGAACTGGGACTAGAGAGACGGTGCAGTGGGTCTGACGCACCTGACTTGCACGCAGCCCACCCAGGGCCATTCCCTGCACCACAAACGGTCCCCAGGAATAATCCCTTAGCAGGAATTAAGGCTGAGCCTGCTTGTTCCAGGCCTCGGTTGGTGCCCCAAGCACCACTGGGAGTAGCCTCAGAGCACTGCCTGGTGTGATTCAGTCCCCTAACCCCCCAAGAAAAAGATCTGCCCACTACAAAAGAAAAAAAAGAGTCCTAAGAACATTCACCTATTGAAAAAAACGAGGAAAAAAAAAGAAGAAAAACAAAAGCAGGGCCCTGAGCTACTGCACAGCAGGTAAGTCTCAAAGTTAGCAGCTAGCACCAGGTGGGGGTCCCCAGAGCAGCGCCAGGAAGGCTCCCTGAGCACCGAGTCAGAAGCCAGCCCTGAGCGTAGCCGGGTGTGGCCTGGAAACAACATGAAAACAAGAGGCAAAAGAAGTAAACCAGAAGATGGCCAGGAAAGTGCACACTGAGGCCTCCAAACTCTTCAAACCAGACAGAAGGCAGGTTAGAGACTGGGCAGCAGGCAGGGCTGGACCCCCAAGCCCCACCTAGGGGCCCCCAAGCCAGCCAAGGAGTGGTCTCTTGAGCACTCCGGGCTGGAGGGGGAAGGGGGATTTTTCCAAACACTCAAGGAGAAAACCTTGGTGACTGACAACCCTGAAAGGCCTGTCACTGCATAAACTAAACAGGGCGTGCACAGGGCGATGGTCCGAGCAGGGACCCAAGAGGAAGTCCCGTTTCTCAATTCTGTTCTGCCACCGGCTTCCAGGAGTCGGGGGGGCCCAGCCCCACACAAGGCCCAGGACACCTCACCTGACACTGCAAACCGGTGCAGTGTTTATGGAGAACCTGAGCTGCTGGTGGGGACGTGGGGACGGAGGCGGCCACCCCACCGGCCCACCGGACGCGCTCAGTGCCCTTCGCTTAGCTCCGGGGCCGCCAGCGGGATTCTTTTGTGTCTCCCCAGCACTGTAAATCCTCGTGAGTCAGTCCAGGGCGAGCATTTCCCAGTTTAGCCAGCCGAGAAACGCTTCCTCTCTTCGCCCATCTCCTTCTCACCCAGCAAACCACCCTGCAATGCAACCATCTGCAGGTGGGGGGTGGGGGGCTGGCCGGGACCGGGATCTGAGACCCAGAGGGGCAAGAGGAGGCCGGCTCCGAGAAAGCAAAGCACCCCCCTCCCCAAAAACACACACCCCAAGGGGAAAAGGGGAAAAAAAAAACCTGCAAACTCTGAAGAATCCCCGTGGAACTTTCTTTGTTAACTTACCAGAAATGTGACTCCTGCCAAAACAATCGCAGGCAAAGCCGGGGCTCTCGCAAGCGCCCTATTAAAGGGGAAGTCCCGGCACTTTCTTACATAAAGGGCGCCCAAAGGTTCCCCGGCCGGGGCCGCGGCGGCCCGCGCCCCGCGGGGACCCGACAACGCCCCGGCAGCCGCTCCGAGGGGAGCGAGGGGGACGGGGGCGGCCGCTCGGGACGGCGCGGAGGCCCCCTCGGGACGTGCCCGGGACAATGCCAAGGGGCCAGCAAAGGGCCCGCGGGAGGCCACCGGGCCGCGGCGTGGCCGCCCCCACCCCCACCCCCACCCCCACCCGGGCCCGGCCAGCCCCGAGCCGGCCGGGCCGCGCCGTTCACCTGCGGGCACCCGGCCGCGTGCGGGGGTCGCGGGGCGCCGTGCCCGGGGCGGGGACCCCCGAGACGCGCACACACACAGACACGCACACGCACACGCACATGCACGCGCACACACACACACACACACGCGCGCGCGCACACACACGCGCACGCGCGCGCGCGCCCCGTCCCCCCACCCCGCCGCGGCCCGCGGCCCCCGCGCGCCCGTCCGCGCCCTCGAGCCGCCGCGCGGGGCCGGGGCCGGGCCGGGCCGGAGCGGGCCTGGGCCCTACCTGAGGCGGTGTACCAGCTCCCGGCGTGGCTGGCCTCCCGGCACACCACTCGGCTGGACATCTTGGCGCCGGTGCCGCCTATGGTGCACGAGGATGAATGAGGAGGCGGCGGCGGCGCGAGCGGCTCCGCCGGGAGGGGTGGGGGGCGGGGGCGGGGGGGCCGAGGCGCCGCGCGCGGCCCAGCCCAGGAGGAGGCGGCGGCGGGGAGGGGACCGGGCCGGCCCCGGAGGAGGAGGAGGAGGAGGAGGAGGAGGAGGCCCGGGAGGCGGAGGAGGAGGAGGGAGGAGGAGGAAGAGGTGGTGGTAGAGGATGAGGAGGGAGGAGGAGGAGGAGGAGGGAGGAGGAGGGAGGAGGAAGAGGAGGAGGTGGTACAGGAGGAGGAGGTGGAGGGGGGAGGGGAGGAGGGGAGGAGGAGGAGAAGAGGAGGAAGAGGAGGAGGAGGAGGAGGAAGAGAAGGAAGAGGAGGAGGAGCAGGAGGAGGAGGCGGCGGCGACAGCGACAGTCCCCGCGAAGGGGGGCGGCCTCCGGAAGACGGGGCCCGCGGCGGCCGCGCCCGAGCCCGGAAAGCGCCGGCCCCCGGCCTCCCCGCCGCGCCCCCAGCCCGCGCCGCCCCGCACCCCCCGCCGCCGCCCCCGCCCCCCGCGGGGCGCCCCGCACCCACCCCCGCGCCCGGCGCCGCCCCGCCCGCCCGCGCCGCGCGTCGAGCCCAACGGCGGAAGGCGGCCGCGGCAGCTGGGCCGGGCGGGCCGGGTCGGGCCGGGCCGGGCCGGGCCTCCCCCCTCCTCCCCCGGCCGGGCCGACGCGCCCTTACTCGCCGCTGCACCCGGTGCTGCCCACTGAGCATGCCCAGCAGCCGCCGCCGGGCCCGCCGAGCAGCCGGCGTGCACGCTCGGGCGGCAGGGGGAGGGCGCGGCGAGCGGGACGCAGCCGCAGGGCAGCCCCCTCCCCCTCCCCCGCCCGGGGGTCCCGCCGCGGGCGGGGGGGGGAGCCGCAACCCCGGGCCGCGCTCCGGGATGCCCCCGGCCGCGGGCGCTCGGGTCGGGCCCGGGCTCCGGCGAATGCTACTTTGTGTCCCCCGGGGCCACCCCCCCCCCACACCCCCCTCTGCCCCTCGCATCCCGGCCTGACTCCGTAGACGTGTCGCCGGTCCGGTGAGGGACTGCTGCGGGGGCTGGCCGCCCTCTCCGGGGAGCTCGGCCTCGGTTATTCCCATCCCTAAAGTGGGGACAGGGCGTTCCGGAGGGGGCCGGAGGCTACTGGCGAGGGGGTTACAGAGCCAGCCGGAGGGAGGGTCGCAGGACACTTTTATTGGACCCATCCCGGGACTCAGCAAGTGTCAGGAGCCAAGAATTCCTCTAGAAGTACCCAAGAATCCGCTAATCAGAGTATCTTGAGCCCCCCTCCCCAGGAAGTCTCTTGAAGTAGACCACCCCTCAACAGGGAGTTCAAAAAAAAAAAAAGTTGCTCAACATCTGAGTTTGGCACTGACAGATCCCCGGTAGAGTCCAAAGAAGTAACTGGACACCCACATATTCAAGTTTCCCCGGTGTCCCGATCATATTTGAAGGGCAGGAGCGAGCTCAAAAGAGCTGCCAGACACACCGGAAGCCGGGTTCCAGCCCCAGCCCTGCAGGGAGTGACAACCAAGCACCAAACCTGGAGTGGCCCGGGAGCAACCTGAGATGACCCAAAAAATTTTTTGAATAGTAGTGATAGGGCCGGAGCAATAGTACAGCTGAGTAGGGCGCTTGCCTTGCACGCAGCGGAACCAGGTTGGGTCCCCGGCCCCCCCAGAAATGACCTGTCACTGCAGAACCAGGAGTAAGACCTGAGTACCGTGGGATGTGGCCCAAATCGCCACCCCCCCCAAAAAAAAGTAAACTATAATTTGGGGTAGCTTACGTGGTTTCCTTAGCACCCCAGCTGCCCTCAGTAGGGAACCTACTGTCCCCATCCTCACCCTCAGCAAATTCTCAGGGTGACCCAGCTCCCCCCCCCCAAATTTTTTAATTGGGGGCGGGGCTGGAGCCATCCTACAACAGGTACACTGCTACAGCTGCAGTGCACAGGGTTGACCCAGGTTAAATTCCCTGCACCACATAGAGATGGTCCCCCACCCAGCTCCCAGGGAACAACCCCAGAGCTCAGGCCTCCACAAGTCCTCAGGGTGCTACCCACCCACTCCCCAAAAAACATGGTGGAGGATTGAACTGCACCCAGGATACGCTGGTGCTAGTCCTGGCTCTGAGCTCAAACAGTGCTTGGCCGACCATGTGCTACCCCCAGGATCAGGATGGACCCAGGCTTGACCCGCAGTGTCTGATTTCAAGACAAGAGCTCTACCTCTGTTACTACCAATCAGCCCTTAAAAAACTTTCAACTCATGGGGCTGGAGCAATAGCACAGCGGGTAGGGCGTTTGCCTTGCACGCGGCCGACCTGAGTTCAATTCCCAGCATCCCATATGGTTCCCTGAGCGCCACCAGGAGTGATTCTTGAGTGCAGAGCCAGGAATAACCCCTGTGCATTGCCGGGTGTGACCCAAAAAGCAAAAAAAAAAAAAAAAAACTTACAACTCATTTCTTCTGGATGTTATACTGATGGGACCAGAGAGATAGATAGTACAGTGGATTAAAACCCAAGAATATAAATAAAGGATATTATGCTGTTTCCACTCCTCCATTTTTCAATTTAAGGTCCAAGGATTAAGTGACCTCAATCCTAAAGTGGATTATGGAGATTCCTGACTCTCACGCATCTTTCTAAGGTCATTCACCTCAGTCTCCCAAGAGTGGCATTTTCTTTCCTTTTACGACAGGGTAGGGAATGGGGGGGTGGGGGTTGAGGCCCAAACTGGCACTGCTGGTGAGAGTTCAGGGCAATGCATCTGGCTCTGTCCTGGGCATGCATGGTACAGAGACAGCCACAGCCACCACAGGCCAGGCAAGCACCTTAAACCCTGTGCTCTCTGCAAACTAAATCTGTCTGTTTGGCCCTACCTGGCTCTGCAGGTAGGCTGGGAATGGAAATCCGGGTTAGCAGCGTGCAAGGCAAGTGCCCTCCCTACCCACTGTACAATAACTCTGACACCCTAAATCTGCTGGCTTTTTTTTTCCCCCCCGGCTTTTTGGGTCACATCCAGCGATGCCCAGAAATTACTCCTGGAGGTGCTCAAGAGACCATATGGGACGCTGGGAATCGAACCTGGGTCAGCCGCGTCCAAGGCAAACGCCCTACCCACCATACTGTCGCTCCAGGCCCCCTAAATCTGCTTCTTTACTCAACTTTTTTTTTTTTTTGGTTCCACCCGGCGTTGCTCATGCACTCAGGAATTACCCCTGGCGGTGCTCAGGGGACCATGTGGGATGCCGGGAATCGAACCAGGTCGGCCTTGTGCAAGGCAAACGCCCTCCCCGCTGTCCTATTGCTCCAGCCCCTTTACTCAACTTTTAACCTCACTTCACGGTAACTTGCCCAAACATTAGGATACTGTGTAGCAGCGTCTGCCCACACCTCCCCAGAGATTCCTTAGCCTCTGGCCTTTCTGGGCCTCTCTGGCTGCGACCATGCGGCCTGGCCCCATCCTAAGGAATAGGCCTCACTTCCCTACTCAAGGGTGTACTTTGCCTCTTCCAAGCTGAAGAAGCCCTTTTCTCTTGAGTATGGACCATTTTCTTTCCCACCCTTCATTTGCTAAATATTTACACATGCACACATATTATGCAACCAAAATCAAAAGGAAGGAGAAAAGCCAACATACATGACAAGTAGTTAATTAAGAGATAACAGAAAGAGCTTTGAATATAATCTCAGGGCTAGGATGAAAGATACGTTACTGGGGCCTGCTCGAGGCAATTGACGAATAACAGGATGATGAATGAATGAATGAACAGAAAAAAAGGGTGTTTTGGGGGCTGGAGCGATAGCACAGCTTGTAGGGCATTTGCCTTGCACACGGCTGACCTGGGTTCGATTCCAGTATCCCATATGGTCTCCTGAGCACCGCCAAGAGTACTTCCTGAGTGCATGAGCCAGGAGTGACCACTGTGCATTGCCGGTGTGACCCAAAACCCCCCCCCCCAAAAAAAACAAAAGCAAAAACAAAACAAAAAAGCAGTGTTTTGCCTACATGGTTCCCCAGAACCCCCTGGTGTGGCCCCAAAACCAAAGGAAAGGGTCTGATTGGCGGGGTGGGTTCCCTAGAGTACCAAAAGGCACTGAAAATGGATGACACCAAAATCCTCTCGTTGGAAATTTCAAGAGGAGGAAAGAATTGTTCTCACTGATATGGTATTGCTATTGTGACAGCGCTTACTGCTGGTTCTACTTCTAAGACTTAAAAATTATAAAGACATTGAATGCAGTGAACTAGAAACCTTCTTATTTTAGGACCCCGAAACTAGAATATTGGTCTGTGATCTTGGGCATCTGGTAGGTTCACCTGAAATCTTCCTTTTCTCGTCTGTCAAATGCAGACAGCAGGGCCCAGGAGAGCACAGTTGGTAAGGGTCCGCGTCTTACAAGGTGGCCGAACTAGGTTTGATCCCCGACATCCCACGTGGTCCCTCAAGCCATGCTTGGGGTGGAAGAACAGTAGTGAGCCGCACTCCAACCCCCCCCCCCCCGCCCCCACAAAAAAAAAAAAAAAAGCAAACAGCAGCAGTATCTGAAACCCTTGATCTTTGTTCTTGGTTTGGTTTTTCTTTTCGGTTTTCGGTTTTTTGGGTGGAGGAACCACACCCAGCAGTGTGGTCAAGCCCGAGGCAAACGCCCAAGCCCAACCCACTCTGCTATCCCTGGGCCCTTGATCTTGGTTCTTATCCTCTGCTTCCAGCAAAACTCGATGCTTACTCCAAACTAGTAATCTCATTTAAAAGTCAGCTTCTTCCCGCTGGGAGAGTCTCCAAATTCTCCCCAAAGAACCTATCTCAGTGGTCAAATTCAGCAAAGAACACAAAGCCAAGCGAAGTGAGAGCATAGAGTCTTATTTTCTCTAGAACATTCTCAACATATTCCAGCATTACTGCTATTGATCTTCCTCTGGATGCCTTACTGAAGGGCAGACTCTTCAGTATTCAGTTGAAACTGTTCATTGACCCATTTACCCTCAATTAAGCACTGTAGCACTGTAACATTGTAGCACTGTCCTCGCATTGTTCCTAGATTTGCTCCAGCCCGGCCCAGTAACGTCTCCATTGTGAGACTTGTTGTTACTGTGTTTGGCATATTGAATACGTCAAGGGTAGCTTGCCAGGCTTTGCTGTGCGGGCAAGATACTCTCGGGAGCTTGCCAGGCTCTCTGAGAGGGGCGGAGGAATCGAACCCGGCTCAGCAGGGCTGGCTGCGTGCAAGGCAAACGCCCTACCCACTGTGCTATCGCTCCAGCCCCTCAATTAAGCAAGATCCATATTAATATAAATCATCTGGGATCCCCAAAAGCAGTTTGAAAATACCATACAGGGGCTGGAGTGATAGCTCAGCAGGTAGGGTGTTTGCCTTGCATGCGTCCGACCCGGGTTCGATTCCCAGCATCCCATAGGGTCCCCTGAGCACCACCAGGAGTAACTCCTGAGTACAGAGCCAGGAGTAACCCCTGTGCAACACCGAGTGTGACCCAAAAAGCGGAAAAAAAAACTAAAATACTGTATAATTATTGCCAGTTTCCATCATATGGAACCAGGGAGATCACTCAAAAGCACTAGAGTACGTCTGCAATGCAGAACTGGGTTTTTCCATGTACCTGACACTGGACTAAACCATTTCGTGGTTTCTACAAGATAAAATCATGTACTTATTGCAGCTTGACAGGACAGAGGGTAAAGAGTTTGTCTTCCGGGGCTGGAGAGATAGCACAGTGGGTAGGGCGTTTGCCTTGCACGTGGCTGACCCGGGTTCGATTCCCAGCATCCCATATGGTACCCTGAGCACCACCAGGAGTAACTCCTGAGTACAGAGCCAGAAGTAACCCCTGTGCATTGCTAAGTGTGACCCCCCAATAAAAAAGAAAAAAAAAAGATTTTGTCTTCCATGTGGCTGACCAGGGTCCGATCCCCTGCCCCTCATAGTGGTCTGAGTGTACCAGAAGTGATTCCTGAGTGCAGAGCCAGGAGTAAGCCCTGAGTACAGTGGGGTGTGTCCCCCAAATCCAAAAGAAACAGTTGTCTTTTATTTTTGGAGCTTTATTTTTAGTGAAGTGATGTGGTTTTTATTGAAGGAAACTTGCTTAGAAAGATGTGAGACGAGAGAAAAAGAAAGCGGAGGAATGTGTCAAGAACACGGGTTTCTTGGGGTGGGAATGTGCATGTGGCCAACCCAGGTTCGATCCCCGGCATCCCCTATGGTCCCCCAAGCATCGCCAGGAGTAATTTCCAAGGACAGAACCAGGAGTAACTCCTGAACATGCTAGGTGTGACCCAAAAAGCCTAAAAATAAATAAATATTTAAAAAAAAAAAACATGGGTTTCTCCAGAGTAGAAATAGGCAAAGAAACATAGAAACAAATGAGATAAGTATTCAAGGAAGAACAATCGGGCTTGTAGGAGCAAGCCTGTATATTTCTGCAATAAAATTTTATACATAAAACTTTTCTGAATTTATTTATTTTTCTGCTTTTTGGGTCACACCTAGCGATGCACAGGGGTTACTCCTGATTCATGCACTCACGAATTACTCCTGGCCACGCTCGGGGGACGATATGGGATGCTGGGAAGCGAACCCGGGTCGGGCCGCGAGCAAGGCAAAGGCTCTTACCACTGTGCTATCACTCCAGCCACTTCTGAATTTATTAAAATTCCCAGAAATAGGGACTGGAGTGATAGCACAGCGGGTAAGGCGTTTGCCTTGCACACGGCCGACCCGAGTTCGATTCCCAGCATCCCACATGGTCCCCCGAGCACTGCCAGGAGTAATTCCTGAGTGCAGAGCCAGGAGGAACCCCTGTGCATTGCCAGGTGTGACCCAAAAGGCAAAAAAAAAAAAAAAATTTCCCAGAAATAAAATCAGTCAAAAGATTTGTTATTCTTTCTGTTCTGTTTTTCAACCCCCTCTCCCCACCCCTCCACCCCCCCACCCCCCGCATCTAGGTCACTCTTGGCTCCCAGGGGTGCTCAGAGGACCTCGAGGTGCCAAGGATGGACCCTGGGTGTCCATAGCATGCAGAGCATGACATGAACCTTTGCGCTTTCTCCCCAGCCCGAGTTTTGAGAGCTCACTCAGTACTAAAACAGCACTGAACACAGTGGGTGGGACTCTGGCCTTGCAAGCCAGGAAGTTTGACCCCAGCACCCCTGGCTCAGTGATCCCTGAGCAGAGTCAGGAGGAAACCCTGAACACTGCTGGGTGAGGCCCCAAACCAAAAGCAAAATACCATTGAAGAGGCCAGACAGTACAACAGGCTAAGGCATTGGCCTTGCAAACAACCAACCTGGGTTTAATTCCCAGGAGTGACCCCTGAGCACTGAACCAAGAGCATAGTATTAGGTTGAGTAAGAAACATCTGGGAGCCTAATACCAGGGTGCGGGGATCAAACCCATTCAGCTGCCTGCAGGGCCAGTGCCCTAGCTTATACTCCCTCCATCCCCCAAGGAGAACTTTCTAGGAGGTTAATGTGTTTGCCTTGCACAAGGCCAACCCTGATTCAACCCCCAGCATCTCATATGGTCCCTGAGTGATCCCTGAGCAGTCAGGAGTAAACCCTGAGTACTACCAGCTGGGTATTCCAAAAGCAACCCCCCAAAACTCCCTAATTTCCATCTTAAAAAAATAAACAATCAGGGGCTGGAGCAATAGCACAGCGGGTAGGGCATTTGCCTTGCACGCGGCTGACCCAGGTTCGATTCCCAGCATCCCATATGGTACCCTGGGCACTGCCAGGAGTAATTCCTGAGAGCAGAGCCAGGAGTAACCTCTGTGCATCGCCGGGTGTGACCCAAAAAGGAAAAAAAAATCAATGAGGGCCGGAGAGATAGCACAAAGGTAAGATTCTTGCTTTTTGCACAATCAACCTGGGTCCAATGCCCAGAACCACATAGATCCCCCAAGCCCCTCCAGGAGCCGTTCCTGAGCACAGAGTAGGGAGTACGCCCTGAGCACAGAGTATAGACCGAAAAAATAAACTTTTTTTTATGGGTTGGAGCGATAGCACAGCGGGTAGGGCGTCTGCCTTGCACGCAGCCAACATGGCCGACCCGAGTTCGATTCCTCCGCCCCTCTCGGAGAGCCCGGCAAGCTACCGAGAGTATTCGATATGCCAGACACAGTAACAACAAAGTCTCCAATGGAGACGTTACTGGGCCCGCTCGAGCAAATCGACGATCAACGGGAGGGCATTTATGCTTTTTGGGCTACACCCAGCGATGCTCAGGGGTTACCCCTGGCTCTGCACTCAGGAGTTGCTCCTGGCGGTGCTCATATGGGATGCTGGGAATCGAACCCGGGTTGGCCGCGTGCAAGGCAAACGCCCTCCTCGCTGTGCTATCTCTCCAGCCCCGAAAAAAATAAACCTTTTTAATGCTCCAAGTTTTTTCTCCATTTTTTTTTTTTTTTGCTTTTTGGGTCACCCCCAGCGATGATGCTCAGGGGTTACTCCTGGCTCTGCACTCACGGATTACTCCTGGCCATGCTTGGGGACCATATGGGATGCTGGGGATTGAACCCGGGTCTGCCGCTTACCAGGCAAACACCCTCCCCACTGTACTATCGCTCCAGCCCAGTTCCGGTTTCTAACATGCAAATCTCTGATGTTCTTCCAAAGCAGTTTCTCAACCCGCACTCAACCCACACTTCGAACAGGACTGCTTGGAGCAGGGTAGGGCTGAGCTTTTGAGTCACCAGAATCTCATCATTAAGCTCCACACAGAAGGCACCTCTGCGGTGACCGTCAGAAAGCCAGAACCAAACATCCTTCGGGAACAAAGGGGCAAAGTCGCTGCCCTTGGAACCACTGTTCCACTGAACCTTTTGCCACCTGGATTGTCTTCAGCTAATTTTTTTCTTGTAGAGCTTGGAGCTTACTCCCAGTGCTCAGTGGACCATGCAGTGCTGGGGATTGAGCCCGGGTAACCTCATGCGAGGGCTTTAACCTCTGAACATCTCAACAGTTCTCCCGGAGCTCATTTGTTTTCTCGATTTTTCATCTCTGAGGGGGTGAGCAGACCCAAAAGACTGCCTGGTGGTACTTGGTGCAAAAAATGAGATGATATGAACTAAACTCAAGCAAGTACTTCTCCGAGTACCTGAACACACTGGCGTTAGTGCCTTACAATGCCCATTTGAGCAGTACCAGCGGGGTGGTCACAAGCCACTTAACCTCCCCCAACCTGTTTCCTTATCTGAAAAATGGGAACAATATCTACTGGGCAGAGTTGCTGGAACAGAGGTAATTCAAGAAAAAAGGGGGGTGCTGCTCACAGAATGGCTTTCAACGAGAACTGTCTTTTTTTGCTTTTTTCAACGAGAACTGTCTTTTTTTGCTTTTTTTTTGCGTCCCGTTTTATGACGCTCAGGGGATACTCCTGGCTCTGCACTCGGGAATTACTCCTGGCGGTGCTTGGGGGACCATATGGAATACCAGGGATTGAACTTGGGCCAGCCGCGTGCAAGGCAAATGCCCTCCCTGCGTACTATCGCTCCGGCCCAAAGAGCTACTTTTCCTAAGGCACAGAAGCACGAGAGCACGCGATCAGCCCTCCACGATGCTCACATTAGTTCTCCAACTATGTTCTGCATTCCCCTCACCGCCGCTGCTTGTCAAAAGCTCGGGCAGGCGTGCCGGAGACAGTACAGCAGGTAGGACATCTGTGCGCACACGGCTGGCCCAGGTTCGGTTGTGAGAATGACATAGGGTCTCCCGAGCTCCATCCGGAGGGGTCTCTGAGCACAGAGCCAGGAGTCAGCCCTGAGCGATGCTGGGTGTACTATCCTGCACCCTCAAAAGATACCTAGCTCCCACCCTCCTGGTCATCTAGAGGCAACCTTGAGAAAACCTGGCTGAGACTTTGAAATACTGTACTTGAATCTGGTGTCTCTCACACTAATGCTGTCAAACCAGCATTCGAGGACACAGGAAAGGACAAGTCAAGAAAATTACTGAACCGGATAAAATATCTGTCATCTATAACAAAGACTACTTTAAAAGGATGTTTTAATGGTTTATTTTGAAGGTCATTTTAGAAACAAGGTTAAAGGCAATCAGAGAAAATTGCACAGAATACACTCATTAAATAAGTATGACAAACAAATCAAAATGAGGGAGACAGGTTTTCTTCTGCAACTCCAGATGCAGGTTCCGTTGTCCTGAAGGCTCTGACACTTCCAAAAGGGGCGTGTGAGGGAATCACGACAGGGAATCACGGCAATTAAAGCTGCCTCTTAATCATGTAAATCTACAGTAGAAACCAAGTATTTCTGCTCTTCCCAGTAAGTCAATTTCGATCTTCAAACTGTGCCTTGTTTTTTAAAAGGTATGATGCTAGAAATTCAATGGGATTTGGTGGCCTGAAAAGGAAAAGAAATCCAAATTTTAGAAATGTACATTCTAGATGTGTTTGTCCCATAATGTAAACACACCTTTCACAACATAATTTCCAAAATGCAATCAAAGGCCATATGCAGTAAGTTAAGAAGGAGAGGCAAGCAAGTTAGCTGACAAGAGTTTAAGAGAGACACAATTTCTCTATAGTTTAAATCTAGCTAGGCCAGAGTGTGCAGAAAGCCCTTGACTGCCCACAGCCCGTCATGGTGAGTATCAGTCTCTCCTGAGCAGAGCCAGAAACCGCCCCTATACATGACTGGGCGTGGTCCAAAACCCTCGTAAATAAATCTGGTTATCAGCTTAGTTCTACAACCAAACTTTTCTTTTCTTTCTTTTTTTTTTTTTTTGCTTTTTGGGTCACACCCAGCGATGTATAGGGATTACTCCTGGCTCTGCACTCAGGAATCACTCCTGGCGGTGCTCAGGGGACCATATGGGATGCTGGGAATCGAACCCAGGTTGGCCGCATGCAAGGCAAACGCCCTACCCACTGTGCTACCTATCGCTCCAGCCCTGACAACCAAATTTTTAAAAACTGCAATAGGATGGTGATGACACTGACACTGACGGCAGGAGAGGGTAGAATTCGGCAGTGTTCAGTTTCTTCCAGGTGACACGGTCACGCCTGGTTTCTGAAAAACTGCATCAAACTGCACACCTATGAGTTGTGATTCCCTGTTTAAGTCTATTCCTCAGTAAGATGAGCAGAAGAGAAAGGCGGCGACAGGATCCCCACAGCAGGAAGAAGAACTCCCCAAGGGACGTCAGGAAAAGCAGTAACACATTTGCTCACATTTGATTACGTTTAAAGTCACTGCTATTTTTCACTGAGCATTTTAACAGTTCTGATGCTGCCACACATATTATACCTCACCAATTAAACACATTTTAAAAATAAGGGCTGGAACAGTAGCATAGCGGGGAGGACATTTGCTTTGCACACAGCCAACCCGGGTTCGATCCTCAGTATCCAGGAGTGATTCCTGAGTACAAAGCCAAGAGTAACCCCCGAGCATCGCTGGGTATGACCCAAAAAGTCAAAAAATAAATAACAATAAATTAAAATTAAGAAATGTGGGGCCAGAGAGATTGGACAGTGGGTAAGGCACTTGCCCTGCACGCAGCTGACCCAGGTTTGATTCCCAGCGTCCCGTGTGGTCCCCTGAACTCCACCAGAAGTGAAGAGCACAGAGCCGGAAGTAAGCCCTGACCACTGCTGCCAGGTGTGGGCGCCAAAAGCAAAAAACATTTAAGAAATGTTTTTTAAGAAACATAATTTAATAATAATTAAATAATAATAATAAGAATTTAAGAATTTAAGAAATGCCAGATCTTGATTTACCAAATACAAAATTATTCTTACTGTAAAAACAAGTCCAAAGAAGAAAGGCTGGGGAATGCCTATTAAATCTATCCATGAAAATGTCTATCAAAACCTGACTTGTGGGGCTGGAGCGATAGCACAGCGGGTAGGGCGTTTGCCTTGCACGCAGCCAACATGGCCAACACAGGTTCGATTCCCAGCACCCCATATGGTCCCCTGAGCACCGTCAGGAGCAATTCCTGAGTGCATGAGCCAGGAGTAACACCTGAGCATCGCTGGGTGTGACCCAAAAAAAAAAAAAAAACCCAAACAACCTGACTTGTATACTCGATCACTGTATAACTGAAACCCAAGCACAAAAATCTGTAAGTCTACAACTGTACCTCATGGTGTTTCACTAATAAAAATTAAAAAAAAAAAAAAGAGAAAATCTGAAATTGAACTGAGAAGGCTACGGTAGATGAATGCAATTAAAATAGCATCATCAGAAAAAAAAAAACCCTGACTTGTACCATTTTCAAAAGCACCCCCCCAGGGGGCTGAAGCAGGGAGGGTCTTTGCCTTCCACACAGCTGATCCAGGTTCAATCCCCTTTCGATCCGCAGCATCCCACATGTCCCCCAAGTACTGCCAGGAATGATTCCTGAGTGCAGAGCCAGGAGTGAGCCCTGAGCATTGCTGGGTGTGACTCAGAAAGAAAATTAAAAAAAAAAAAATTCCTTTAACACTGAAGTATCCTTCAGGATCAGGCAAACACAGGTAATAATTGGGGGGCTAAGGGGGTGTAAAGGCCCAGAGGCTCCTCCCAGGGATGAGGAGCTCAAGCCTGTGCAGGTGTGTGAGTATGCCGTCCACACAGCAGAACCTGGCAAGCATTCAATATGCCAAAAACAGCAACAGCAAGTTTCACAATGGGGACGTTACTGGTGCCCGCTCCAGCAAATCGATGAACAAGGGGAGGACAGTGCTACAGTATTTGTAATATTTTACTAGGCCCGGAGTGAGAGTACAGCAGCCAGGGCACTTGTCTTGCATGCAGCCGAACTGGGTTGATTGCTGGCAGAAGTGATCCCCGAGCAGAGCCAGAAATAACCCCGGAGCACTGCGATACGGGCACCCCACCCCACAAAATAGCGTTTTACTAAAAATCTTCAATTTTTTCCTAGTGTTTAAATAAAATTACAGATTCTAATATGCTAAACACCATTAGAAAAAGTATCAAGGGGCTAGAGCAATAGCACAGCGGGTAGGGCATTTGCCTTGCATGTGGCCGACCCGGGTTCAATTCCCAGCATCCCATATGGTCCCCTGAGCACCACCAGGGGTAATTCCTGAGTGCAGAGCCAGGAGTCGACCCTCGGCATCACTGGATGTGACCCAAAAAGCAAAAAAGCAAAAAAGCAAAAAAAAAAAAAAAAAAAAAAAAAAAAGCATCAAAATGCCCATGTTTTAACTGTCCGTAGCAGAGCCAAGACATTTCTTGTAGCCACATTTTATCAATATAATAAAAACAAGTTAATAGTCACACACACAATTTTTATAAGCGATTAAATCTACCTGTTCTCAATGATTCAGTGTAAAATGAGATGTATTTTCATCATGCATTACTATTATTTGAATAAAACAAATATGGTTTTATGGCTGCTGACTAGTATAGTTAAAAAAGAATAATTCTCTTCTTGAACTGGCTTACAAACACACAAAAAGGGTAGAACTGGGGAAAAACAGTAAAAAGAAATAACTAGAACCTTGCTAGTAAATTCAAACAAACTGGACAAAAGGAAACACTTATGATGTTGGGCTGGAGAGATAGCACAGCGGGTAGGGCGTTTGCCTTGCATGCAGCTGACCCAGGTTCAATTCCCAGCATCCCATATGGTCCCCTGAGCACTGCCAGGTGTAATTCCTGAGTGCAGAGCCAGGAGTAACCCCTGACCATCGCTGGGTGTGACCCAAAAAGAAAAAAAAAAAAAACACTTATGATGTTGAGGCAATGACGACATTAGAGAATGTGATGGGAACCTTTTGAGCATCCTGGTTTGAGTTCCATACCATGAATAGTCATGTCCTTCGTTTAGAAAAACTCCACCAAATTTATGTGAAGAAAATAGTTTTTATTTTTATTTATTTTTTGCTTTTTTGGGTCACAGCCAGTGATGCACAGGGGTTACTCCTGGTTCATGCACTCAGGAATTACTCCTGGCCGTGCCTGGGGGACCATATGGGATGCTGGGAATCGAACCCGGGTCGGCCGCGTGCAAGGCGAATGCCCTACCCGCTGTGCGAAAATAGTTTTTAAAAAGTCAAAAAAGCATGAAAATTCAAACTGGTAAGTGGAACTGAAATATTCCAACAGTAAGACAACAGTTAAACTGTAGCATTATCATTTATTATGGTCTATAAAGTATTTCAAGTCATAGTATTAAGTATGACAGAAATGCAAAATTACACCATCAAATAAGAAATCTTTACAAACATGCAATGTGATCTATGACTAGAAGGGAAAAAAATGTAGTGTCCACAGCTATGGTTAACTTCTTCAGAAAGAACACTTAATTGCCATAAATTTTTATATACGTAAAAAAAAAAAAAAAACCCTAGAGGCTGGAGTGATAGTACAGCGGGTAGGGCGTTTGCCTTGCACACAGCCGACCCAGGTTCGATTCCCAGCATCCCATATGGTGCCCTGAGCACCGCCAGGGGTAATTCCTGAGTGCAGAGCCAGGAGTAACTCCTGTGCATCGCCAGGTATGATCCAAAAAGCAAAAAATATATAGATAAAAAAAAAAACCCTAGGGGGCCAGAGCAATACCACAGTGGATAGGGCATTTGCCTTGCACACGTCCAACCCAGGTTAGATCCTCGGCATCCCATATGGTCCCCCAGCACCGCCAGGAGTGATTCCTGAGTGCAGAGCCAGGAGTAACCCCTGAGCATCGCTGGGTGTGACCGACCCAAAAAGTAAAAAAGTAAAATAAATAAAGACAACACACATACACACAAACACCCCTACATAAGGAACATCATTTCAACCTCTGTTGATGCTGGTTCTGGCGACTCCATTTGCAAGGCTCTTACCTTTCACGGGGCTGGCGCGACTGTACAGCAAACAGGGCGTGCGCCTTGCATGACACTGACCTGGGTTCAATCCCCGGCATCCCACGTGTCCTCCAAGCACTGCCAGGCATAATCCCTGAGCATAGTCAGGTACGGCCAAAAGACTAAACAAAACAAAACAGGCCCTTACCTCTCCTTTGCGAGCACAGCAAGGCCCTGTAATAAGATAGGTACAACAGTCTGATCCAGGTAGGCACGGGTAGGCAACGACTGGAGATCCACCTTCTGTTTGGATGACTTTTCTGCATTAACCTTCTCATTTTCTACTATCCTCTAGTGAATTAAAAAAACATGCACAAACATTATAAACACCTACACTGGTGATAGTGCGCAACAAAAAATTACCACAAAAAATGACGACCAATAAGAAGGCAAATCTCAGGGACTAGAAAGGGATTATAACTGGGATTTAATTATAAGTCACTGGCAAAATCAACCCCCAATTTAGCCACCTGGATTCATCTCACAACTGGAGGCGACATCAAGCTATTTGACTGGAAAACTTTGCCTTCTTTTGGAGAATTTACCATTTTGGAAATTGACGAATAAGGAATCGAAGCGGTCGTACCGCAGGTAAGGCTGCCCCGATGGTGCCCGGAGCATGCCAGGAGTTAGCCCTGAGTGCTGAGCACTGCCTGGTGTGGCCAAAAAACAAAGGGGGAAAAAAAAGTCATGGAGACCCCCTCTGCAGCTGCAGGAGCTGTTCCCAGGATACAAACAAGGGGCTGAGACAACTAGGCCAGGTCGGCGGGAAAGACTGTGGCCTGCAGAAGGAGCAGGAGGCTGGAGCCTGGCGCCCTCACTCACTACCAAGGGCAGTTCCTGATCCTCTGACCAGAAAAGGAAAGACTCCACCGCTGCATCAGCAAGGAGCAAGGGGTGAGATACAGCAAAGAAGGGAATCACACTTCGACTAATAAGCTCTGCGGGTCGCCGCAAAGCTTAAAACCAACCTCCGGGCACGAGTGACTGGGCATCGGCCTTGCACAGCTGACCTGGGTTCAAGTCCTGGCACCCATATGGTTCCGCGAGCCCTACCAGGAGTGAACCCTGAGCACCGCCAGGAGAGACGGCATAGTGGATAGGCGCTTGCCTTGCACAAGGCTGATCCAGGTTCCACCCGAGGAAATCCACGTGGCTCCAGAGCTCACAGGTAGTGATCCCTGAGCACCACTGGACGTGGCCAAAAAAGCAACACCACCATTAAGACACATCATAATCGAACTATTTAAAAACAATTCTGCAGTACGAGGCCAGAGCAGTGGGTCGGGCACGTGCCTTGCACACAGCCAACATGGATTCAATCCCAGGCATCCCAGAGTCTCCCAAGCATTGCCAGGAGTCTTTTCTGGGTGCAGAACCAGGCAGAAGCACTGGGCACTGCCAGGAACAGCTTCAAAACAAAATTAATTAACCTTAAAATGAAATCTCAAAATCATCAAGAAAAGCGATGACTTATAAAGAAGCAAAAACAGGAATGGTAATGCGGTCACCTACACCAACCACAAGAAGGGGATCGACACCTGCAGGTGCCTCTCCAGAACAAGGCCAAAGGAAGGACCTTCGAAGACCCTCAGGAGCTCCGGGGCCTGGCAGGGCAAGGCCAGGGTCTCCCGTGGTGCCACAGGCCAGGCCCACTGAGAAGCTGCCACATTCCTTTCCCCACCCCGGCAGGACAGGGAGCTGTAAGCCGGCCCTTGAGACAGCAAGATGTGGGTACCCAAGGAAATCTGCACCAGCACACACGCAAATAAAGAGCTCACAAAAAGGGGTAAGAGGAGAAAGGTGGGCGATCCCTTATTTGAACCTAAAGGAAATGAACTTGAGGTGCTTTTGAGCCATACCCGAAGGTGCTCAGGGGTCATTCCTGGAGGGGCTCAAGGAACTGGGATAATCGACATTTCAAAACAATTATAATAAGCTTCCGTGTTTCCAACCTACAGAACCACACTAGGTACAGACTGCAGGAAAGAGGAAATGGAAGGACTGTAAGGCTGTCAACCGCCACTAGAAAGCCAACTCAGTAAATTGGCAAATCACAGAGCTTTTAGCAACCAGCTAGGAAAACACAGTGAGACAATAAGCAGATTCCAACGGAGGGGGCCCTAGCAATGGACAGCATGAAGGGCGCCTGCCGACCGAGGTGGACTCCCAGTATCCCATAGGGGTCCCTGAGCCCCGCCAGGTGTGGCCCCAAACACAAAATTACAATGGAATGGAATCCCAAGCCCACAGCGGCCGGCTGGCAGGGCTTCCGGAACTTTCAGCCATCACAATAGCTAGGAAGAGAGAAGCAGGAGACCTGGGCCGTCACATGGGCCCAGCGGTACACAGGAAAGACCCAGAAAGGGCAGGCAGAGCCCTGGCTGCAGCTGGGGGAACGCTCTGCTTACTCCTCAGAGATTCTCAATCTGGGGCGTGGACCCCCCCCTCCCGAGACCCCAAAGACCCCCCAAGGAGATCACAGGTGGAAATCATGTCAACTGAGGCAACAGAGGAGGGAGACTACGGGGCCCATCTGCCCAGGCAGGAAGGAAACAGTGAACAGGGCCCCGGGCAGAGGAAGGTTGAGAAACACGGATTCCGGGTTTGGGAACTGAGAGCGAGGATGGCGGGGGCGGGGGGGGGGGGTGCTGCATGGGGTCCCCCATGGGAAAGAAGGGGGCAGGAAGGGAGGTTAGTTTGGTAACCTCCAGCTAGAGACAACCTTCGGCCACTGCAGGTATGGCCCCCTCAAAAAACACACGCCAAACACCTTACTGGGCTGGAGTGACAGCCCGGGGGGTGGGGGGGGGTAAGGAGATGCGTTGCAGGAGTGAACCCTGAGCACAGCCAGGACCCGCCCCAGCCGAAGCAAACAAAGCCACCAGAGAGGACGAATGCTGGCGCTGGGGTCTGCATATGCCCTGCGCGCAGGAGACCCGAGCTCAGTCTCCGGACCCCACTCCCACAGGCACTGCCGGGAAAGATTCCCTCCCGAGCCCCACTAAGAGGCCTTCCCTGAACACCCCTGTCTGTGTCCCCCAATAATACTGCCCTTACCATTACCCTTCTCGGAAATGTTCCAACCCATCACTTGGTCAAACATAAATGTCTTTGCTTTTGTCCTATTTTTAACCCGCTCTCTCGGGTGTTTGGGGGTCATTCCAACCAGTGCTCTGGGGACCATGAGGTACCAGGGCTAAAACTCTGTCCCCCAGTATGCAAAGCATTACTCCAGCCCATCGTGCTGTCTGTCTGGCCCTATTCATTGACGGGTGTAAACCACCACAAACACAAAAGACACGGGAAGCCAAGAGAGAGCACCAGGAATCACGAGGGAAATTCTAATCAAAACCATGAGACATCTCTGACCTGCTGGAATAATTACTCTCAAAAAGACAAGAAATAGGGGCCGGAGTGACAGTACAGCAGGTAGGGCATTTGCTTTGCACACGGCCAACCTGAGTTCGATCCCTGGTACCCCATGTGGTCGCTGAGCACCACCAGGGGCGATCTCCCCAAAAAAGATAGGCAGTAAGTGTCGGCTAGAATGGGACGACAGAAACAGAAATAGAAAGGGAACAGGGTCCACTGCTGCCGGGGATGGAAACAGGTGTAGCTACTAGGGACCCAGCCCAGCAGGCTTAGCGTGGGGTTCCTCAGAGCATCCCGCTCGCCAAAAATATGCAAACTGTCCGCTGATGGAAAAAAAGCAGCAGCGCACGGGGCCAGAGTGGGTTAAGGGGCTTGCCTTGCACGTTCCGCCCCAGGCGGCTCCTAGCTTGGCATAAGATCTCCCAAGTGCTGCCAGAAGTGACCCTGGAGCAGACGAACCAAGAGTTCAAGGCTCCAGGCACCACAATATGACTCAAAAGAACCCAAGGAGAGAAAAAAAAGAAAAAAAAATGAATCACTCAGTAGAATGCTATTCGATCATTTAAAGTAAGGATGCAGGGGATGGAGCGATAGCACAGCGGGTAGGGCCTTTGCCTTGCACATGGCCAACTTGGGTTCGATTCCCAGCATCCCCTACCGTCCCCCAAGCCCTGCCAGGAGTAATTCCTGAGTACAGAACCAGGAGGAACCCCTGTGCAACGCCGGGTGTGACCCAAAAACCAAAAAATAAATACAAATTAAAAAAACAAGGATGCAGGGCCAAAGAGACCTGAGCACAGGGGTCACCCGTAAGCAGGAAGGCAGGAGTTAGCCCTGAGAATGGTTGGAGTTTCGGGGTACACGAGATGTCCGCATCATACATGGTCCCCAAGCCCTGCAAGGAGTGATCCCCAAGTCCAGAGCTAGGAATAAGACCTGCACCACTGGGCGTGACCCCAAAAAACAACTAAAAAAAGAATTCTATGTAACATCTATATAAGATGTTAAATATTATCTAGGTTAATTGTAACCCGTCTGAATCACATTAAACACATTAATCATTACATTGTTTTTTTTTTTTTTGCTTATGGTTCACACCCCATCAATGTTTAGGGGTTACTCCTGGAGGTGCTTGGGGGACCATATGGGATGCGAAGGATCGAACCCGGGTCAGCCGCATGCAAGGCAAATGTCCTACCCGCTGAACTATTGCCCAGGCCCCATAATCATTACACTGTACACCTATAACCGTTCCATGTCAATTACATCAAGTCAATGACACCCAAGTTTTGGTTTTTTTTTTTTTTTGCTTTTTTTGGGTCACACCCAGCGATGCACAGAGGTAACTCCTAGCTCTCTACTCAGGAATTACTCCTGGCAGTGCTCAGGGGACCATATGGGATGCTGGTAATCGAACCTGGGTCGGCCGCGTGCAAGGCAAACACCCTACCCGCTGTGCTATCGCTCCAGTTCCCGACACTCAAGTTTTAAGAGAACAACTTCAGTTTTGTTTTCTCTCTGGGGCGGGAGAGTGGGTAGGATGCTTGCCCTGCCCACAGCCCAGTGAAGTTGAATCCCAGTACTCTCTATGGCCCCCCAAGTCCACCAGATGAGGTAGAATGCGGAGTAACCCTCATAAACTCCGAATGTACCTACCCAGAAAAGTAAAATATAAAAATAAATAAATTTAACATATTTTTGTGTTTTGAGCCACACTGGGCATTGCCCAGGGATCACTCCTGGCGGTGACCAAAAGAGGTGCTAGGGATCGAAACCAGGTCGGCCAAGTACAGGGCAAAGGCCCTACCTAGTACACTATCTCTCCAGTCCAGGAAGTGCATTCATATTTTAAAATTATAAGAGGGAGCAGGTAAAAAGTAGTATTAATTTAAAAATATTTAGGTGGGCGGGGCTGGAGAGATAGCACAGCGGGTAGGGCATTTGCCTTGCACTTGACGGACCCAGGTTCGATTCCCAGCATCCCATATGGTCCCCTGGGCACTGCCAGGAGTAACTCCTGAGTGCAGAGCCAGGAGTAACCCTGTGCTTCGCCAGGTGTGACCCAAAAAGCAAAAAGCAAAAAAAAAATTTAGGTGGGGAGGGGCATTTTCCTTTGCATGCAGTGAACCCAGATTGGATTTCTGCACCATATATGTTCCGAGGACCACCAGTGAGTGATCCCTGAACATCTTTGGTTGTGATTAAAAAAAAAAAAAATTTTTTTTTCCTTTAAAGTATCTGCTATGTAATACTTTCCAATGGCACTTACTGATTCAACCATACCAGGAAAAAAAAAAGTGAGCTCCACCGGCATTTTAGTTCTACCATCAAGAAAATAAATTTCAGGGGCTGGCGAGATAGTACAACGGGTAGGGCGTTTGCCTTGCACGCAAATGCAAGTAGCATAACGGGTAGGGCACTTGCCTTGCACGCGTCCGACCCGGGTTCAATTCCCAGCATCCCATAGGGTCCCCCAAGCGCCGCCAGGAGTAATTCCTGAGCGCATGAGCCAGGAGTGAGCCCTGTGCATCGCCGGGTGGGACTCCAAAAAGCCAAAAAAAGGAAAAAAAAAAGAATTTCTTCGATATAAGGGGCAATCATACCCCAGCCATCCCCCCAACAGGCACACTGATCAACCAAAAGACCATGCAGCGAGGACCCCCGGGTCAAGCGTGCACTTTTCACATAGTTTGGGGGGGCCACTCGGCCTTCCGGACTCAGAGCCCCTTTCTCTCTCTGCGCACGAACGGAACAGGATCCCCGCGACGCGACGCCACGCCACGCCACGCCACGCCGTCCCCTCGGCCGGCGCAGCATCCTCCCCGCCCCCCCCACCCCCAGCCCGCGCGCCCAGGTGGCCCGGGCGCAGGTGCGCGCGGCGCGCGGGGACGCAGGCGCCGAGTTACCTCGACGCTGTCGGTGAGGCCGTACTCGGAGTGCGGGTTCTCGGCGACCTGCGGGACAACAGCGCGGCGCGCGGGGTCAGCGGGGCCGGCGGGGTCGCGGCGCGCCGACCCCGGCCCCGGGCCCGCGGGGACCTACCTGCGTCTGCCCCTCCAGCATCTGCTCGGGCTCCATCGCGCGCGCTGCGCTCCAGGCCCCGGACGCCGGCCTGCGCGGGGAGAGGCGTTACCGGGCGCCGCCGCCCCGCCCCGCGCCCCGCCCGGCCCGTTGCGCGGAGGCCTCCCCCCCCCACCCACCCGCCACCCGGGGCCCGGCCAGGGGAGCTGCTGACCCGCGCCCAGCCCGCGCTGCCTGCCAGCCGCGCCGCGCCGCGCCGCCGAGTCCCGGCACGATCCGCCGCCGCCGCCGCCGCCGTCCGTGCCGCGCCTGCGCGCTGCGACCCGCTGCGGAGCCCGGCCCCCCGCGCTCGGCGATCGACTGAGGACCCCGGGCGCTCGGCGATCGGCTGAGGATCCCGGCCCGCCGCGCTCGGCGATCGGCTGCGGGGCCTGCGCCAGGCACAGGTCCCGGCCCCCGCAGCGCGCACACGAGCGCGCACCGCACCGCCCCGCCCCGCCTCGCCCCGCCCCGCCCCGCCCGGCCCGGCGTCCCCTGGGCTCCGCCGCCCCGCCGAGCACCGACACGGCTGAGTCCTCTGCGTGCAGAGCCGGCAGCGAGCCCTGAGTGCCGGCGAGGGTGGTCCCCAAACGACAGCAACGGAAAGGGAAGAGTCTGGCTGGATCGTGGGGGAGGCACGTGGCCCGGGTCAGATCCGCACCACGGGTCCCCTGGGCCCGCGGGAGTGGTGCCTGAGCACCCTGCTCCTCCCCCCAGGGGTGATTCCTGAGCCTGGAGTGATCCCTAAGCATCCTGTCCTCGCCTCCACGGGTGATCCCTGAGCCAGGAGTCATCCCCAGGAGTGATGCCTGAGCCAAGAGTGATCCCTGAGCACCGCTGGATGTGCTTCTACTCCCCCTCACACACACTATTATAATATATCTGTGCATATATGTTGCGCTAGGTTTCCCCCTTCACACAATTTGTCAATAACAAAACGGAGACTGCTTTAGGGCCCCAGCCCTAAACCAGATACCACACCTTCTGCACAGTAGCTGTGGCTCAGACATGCAAATTCTGATGGCCTTAAGTGCAATAGATTCATTTACCTGTAAATCTGATTCAATTTCCTGCCTTTGTAGTATGGAAATCTGAGAACTTCTTTCCAAGTTGAAGATTAAATTAGAGCTTTCAATGAGAGGGAAGCCATTGTTACCAATCCTGACTCTAGGGAACTGGTAGTACAGCTGGAAACGCGCTTTACCGTCCTGGCATCACATACGGTTCCCTGAGCCCCGCCAGAATGACTGAGCACCACTCACAAGCACAAATTATCAGTTAGGGGTCAGAGCAATAATACAGCAGGTAGGGCGCTTGCCTGGCATGCAGCCCACCTAGATTTCACCCTTGGTATCCCAAATGGTCTCCCCCAGCAGCACTCCATAGAAGTCAACCCTGAGTGCAGAGCCAGATCCCTGAGTGCAGTAAATCTTGAGCACAGCCAGGTGTGGCCCAAAATTAATTATTTAAAAAAAATTTTTTTAAGCCGTGACTCTGGCTAGATAGATGAGTGACTTATGCTTTGCATGAAGGAGGCTCTGATTTGATTCCAAGCACTGCATGATCCCCTGAACAATATTGGGAGAAAACTGAACCCAGAGCAAGGCATAGCTGGGTGTGGTCCCAAACGAACAATAAGAAGACAGCCATGACTCTAGAAATACCAAAAAAGAATAAAATAGAAATACAAAAATATGTATTATCACAATACTTTGTGGGGGAGGGAATTTAGGGCACTCAAGCCATGCTCAAGGGTTACTCCAGGCCCTGTGCGCAGGGAAAAAAAAATACAAAGAAAAAGAGAAGAATTGTTAGTATTATCACCAAAAATGTTTCACTGAATTTTTTTTTTTTTTTTTGCTTTTTGCTCACACCCAGCAATGCACAGGAGTTACTCCTGGTTCATGCACTCAGGAATTACTCCTGGCATATGGGGGAGCATATGGGTTGCTGGGAATCGAACCTAGGTCCGCTGCATGCAAGGCGAATGCCCTCCCCGCTGTGCTATTGCTCCAGCCCCCACTGAATTTTTTACATTTAAAACATTGAGGGGATAAGAGAAGGAACACATGGAGGGTGCGGGATCCCGGAGGAAAAGAAAAAAGAAAAAACAGGTTCCAAAAAGAGCCGAGAGCACCGGGAAGTTCCAGATGGAGTAGGCGCCGCATCCCGCCTCCCCCAGATGGAACCCTGGTGACCAGAAGCCTCTACAAACACAGCTCGAGTATGCGGGAACGAGGACTTTTTCTCAAAACCGCGCGGCCGCTTACGCGGCCGCGCGACATCTCTCTATATACAAAGTGATCAATGAGAAGTAAACCACCCAATCTTTCTCCCTGAAAATCAGAGTTAAGTTTGGAGCATGGCCACAGCCCCAGAAACACAAGGACTTAATGCAGAAACCAGCATCTTAGAGCAGAAAAGTGAACGGACGAAGCGTTAACCCAGGCCATCATTTCTGCCCAGAGGGGAAAAGGGTGTTGCCCCATTCGCCCTCTCTTCTCTGGAAAGAAGGATGGCAGCCGCATGGGAGCCTTGTGGACAGCAGGTATGAGCCGGGGGTGTGGGGGCGACTAAAACCTCATGGGAAGGGGGGCGTTCCGGTCCGTCCTTCACGCCCTACCGAGGTCACCAGTTGCCCCCCACGAGCGGCTCTCCAGCACGGCCACAGCCCCAGAAGCACAAGGGCTTAATGCAGAACCCAGCAGCTTGGAGCAGAAAAGTGAAAGGACTATGCGTTAATCCAGGCAATCATTTCTGCCCAGAGGGGAAAGAGTGTTGCTCCCTTCCGCCCTCCTCCCTCTGGAAAGAAAGATGGCGGCCACATGGGAGCCTTGTGGACAGCAGGTATGAGCCGGGGGTGTGGGGGCGACTAAAACCTCATGGGAAGAGGGGCGTTCTGGTCCGTCCTTCACACCCTACCGAGGTCACCAGTTGCCCCCCACGAGCGGCTCCCCAGCACGGCCACAGTCCCAGAAGCACAAGGACTTAATGCAGAACCCAGCAGCTTGGAGCAGAAAAGTGAAAGGACTATGCGTTAATCCAGGCCATCAAGTCTGCCGGAGGGGAAAGGGTGTTGCCCCATTCGCCCTCTCTTCTCTGGAAAGAAGGATGGCGGCCGCATGGGAGCCTTGTGGACAGCAGGTATGAGCCGGGGGTGTGGGGGCGACTAAAACCTCATGGGAAGGGGGGCGTTCCAGTCCGTCCTTCACGCCCTACCGAGGTCACCAGTCACCCCTCACGAGCGGCTCTCCAGCACGGCCACGGCCCCAGAAGCACAAGGACTTAATGCAGAACCCAGCAGCTTGGAGCAGAAAAGTGAACGGACTATGCGTTGATCCAGCCCATCAAGTCTGCTGGAGGGGAAAGGGTGTTGCCCCATTCGCCCTCTCCTCTCTGGAAAGAAAGATGGCGGCCACATGGGTGCCTTGTGGACAGCAGGTATGAGCTGGGAGTGTGGGGGCGACTAAAACCTCATGGGAAGGGGGGCGTTCCGGTCCGTCCTTCACGCCCTACCGAGGTCACCAGTTGCCCCCCACGAACGGCTCTCCAGCACGGCCACAGCCCCAGAAGCACAAGGGCTTAATGCAGAACCCAGCAGCTTGGAGCAGAAAAGTGAAAGGACTATGCGTTAATCCAGGCAATCATTTCTGCCCAGAGGGGAAAGGGTGTTGCCCCATTCGCCCTCTCCTCTCTGGAAAGAAAGATGGCGGCCACATGGGAGCCTTGTGGACAGCAGGTATGAGCCGGGAGTGTGGGGGCGACTAAAACCTCATGGGAAGGGGGGCGTTTCGGTCCGCCCTTCACGCCCTACCGAGGCCACCAGTTGCCCCCACGAGCGGCTCTCCAGCACGGCCACAGCCCCAGAAGCACAATGACCTAATGCAGAACCCAGCAGCTTGGAGCAGAAAAGTGAAAGGACTATGCGTTGATCCAGGCAATCATTTCTGCCCAGAGGGGAAAGGGTGTTGCTCCCTTCCGCCCTCCTCCCTCTGGAAAGAAAGATGGCGGCCACATGGGAGCCTTGTGGACAGCAGGTATGAGCCGGGGCTGTGGGGGCGACTAAAACCTCATGGGAAGGGGGGCGTTCTGGTCCGTCCTTCACGCCCTACCGAGGTCACCAGTTGCCCCCCGCGAGCGGCTCTCCAGCACGGCCACGGCCCCAGAAGCACAAGGACTTAATGCAGAACCCAGCAGCTTGGAGCAGAAAAGTGAACGGACTCTGCATTGATCCAGGCCATCAAGTCTGCCGGAGGGGAAAGGGTGTTGCCCCATTCGCCCTCTCCTCTTTGGAAAGAAAGATGGCGGCCACATGGGAGCCTTGTGGACAGCAGGTATGAGCCGGGAGTGTGGGGGCGACTAAAACCTCATGGGAAGGGGGGCGTTTCGGTCCGCCCTTCACGCCCTACCGAGGCCACCGGTTGCCCCCCGCGAGCGGCTCTCCAGCACGGCCAGGACTCCAGAACACAGAAACCAATTTCTTAACTATCTGACTTTCAGTAGAAATACTTCCAGGGTCAATAGGTAAAAGAGCAGAAATCCAAAACCAACATTTAATTCTTGAACCCAGCCGTAGAAAGCAAATCACTTCACAATGCTTTTTCAGCATGTCTGATTGGGGGGGGGGGTAAACTCTAAATAATAGTGGTGAATCTTTTATTGAAACAATGAATCTAATCAAAGCAGATAGAGTGTTAACTAGAATTCATCTGCCTCACAGGGACGGGGAGGGGTGGGGGGTGGGGTTTTATTGGGGTTCTTCATGGTAAAAAATAAGTATTGGTAAAGGGAAATGTGTTTGATATTTGCATGACTGAGACATAAACCTGAAAGCTTTGTAACCTTTCCCACAGTGATTCAATAAATAAAAAAAAAAAAAAAAAAAAAAAAAAAAGAATGGTAAATAGAATTATCTGAAAATCAATCAATAAAAGTCAGTTTGTTTTGATTAAAAAAAAAAAAAAAAAACATTGAGGGGCTGGACACCCAAAAGGAGAGAGAGAACAAAACAGAGGTAGGGTGGGATGGGGGGATGGGGGGATGGAAAGGGATACTGGGATCAGTCAGTGGTGGTGGAGGATGGGCACTGGTGGAGAGATGGGTACTCGATCATTGTATAACTGAAACCCAAGCACAAAAAATTGTAAGTCTACAACTGTACCTCATGGTGTTTCACTAGTAAAAATTAAAAAAAAAAATGGA